AAAACCCGGCGAGGGCACGACTTGTTTGCACAACACCCACGAAAATGTTTGTCGACCATGAAACCGCTGACCATGGTCGGTGAAAGGTGTTGAATAATGTCATAAAGCCGAAACAAGACACAAACAGAATTACATTTGGAAGCGCATCAAATTCGATGGAGTCGGAATTGGAGTTGCTCCGCTTTTGCGTTTTATCGACATCATAAACTGCTTTAGAAAAAAGGTTTATGGCCAAACATAACACGAATATTATGTTATGGACTAATACATTTTTAATGCGAATGTTTTGTTTTGTTTTTTTCTTTCTTTTTCTGGGACATGGCTAAGTAATTGAGTGGCCAGGCCAACAAGTCGCCTGATTGGATTGCAGTTGAATCATCATCAGGGCAGATTCTATAGAAATAATAGACGACAAATGATATATGGCATGAATGTGTTATTTTTGGAGCTGTAGCCTGGTTAATATAGTTGACAAGGCTCTCACATATATATATATATATTATATATGTATATTTAGTTAGCAAAACTCTCGGCACAAATCTTTGCCAACCTTGACAATTGCGTGCCAACACACATCAATCATTTGGCCTGAATGGGACAGGACATCAATCACAGCTGCTCTGCTCTACTCTGACTCTTGGCCAGCATCTTGGGTTAAAGCAGCATGGCCGATAGAAACAACGCACTCAAAATGGCGTCCGTGTCAGCCAAAATTGAAAAATCCCATTTATATGCAAGGCATCGACTCGTGTTTTCTTCTTCTTTTTTTGTGATGAAAGCAACAAAAATCGAATTCGGTTTAAGGTTTTGGGTTTGCTCTTGTACCTGCGTGACTGCACGTAACCAGCCACAAGAGTGGAGTGCTGGGAGCTAAGAGAAAGGCTGCCTGGCTGCCTGTTAGAGTTGCAATTGTCTGGCTGGCAGCTCGTGCGCCTAAATGCTATGCTATTGTCATGACACATGGCAATCCGAGCACATTCACTTAGTGCAATGAGCAAAACCAACCAAAAACCAGGCGTATGACAGGCAATTGACACACTCACTCACACACTCATACACACACACATGCAAATAATGCAAATAGTCCATGTTGCCGTGTCTGTGGCGTGTGTCTCGCTCATGTAAAGCCTCTTCAATAAGCAAGTGAGTGAATAAACGAGGTGTGCTGCTGGAGTATCACTACTTATATTTATTACAATTATTTATTTCCTCATCAATTTAAATGTGTGTGTCTCAGAAAGTAATCCCCATTATCGACTTATGTACATCAGAACATAGCGCCCCTCTCGGTGTCTGCAAGTAGCAATTGTCTTCTACTCACACTCTGAGAAAAACGCAGAGAGCAAAAACTTCGTTCGCGATCGGCCAGAACTCATTTCGTTTTGTTTTATTATTTCGCTCTGCTTGTTTCCCGTTCGTTTGCTTGAGCTAAATGAACCAAAAAGTTGTTTGTGTGTATTGCTATTTATGCAAAGGCTCAACACATCAATAGCGTATATGAATTGAGTGTGTGTATGTGTAAGTGAATGTGAAGACCATTTGCATTGACTTTCGCTCATTTGCTCACTCCCTCTTCCTCATTATGCGAACGTCAATCGTGTCTCTCCCGAAACGATGCTCGTTGAAAGAGCGTCACACGAATAGATCACGAAGCTCAACGGAAAACAAGAACGAAAAGAACCAAAGTCTCTTGCTTAGAGCGAGAGCGAGTGAGCATGATTTTTTTCTGTTGGATCACAGCAAGCTGTGTAGCAGAGACATGGATATTAACATAACACATACAAAATAGCAGATATATGTGTACATACATATGTACATACATATGCACACAGAAATATAGAAATCGCGACATTTATTGAACAGACCTCGAATTCAGCTGCCAGAGCAGAGCCCGCCGCAACGAGTAATTGAACTGGCTAACTGTCTGCATAGATATATGTGTGTGTGTGTCTGCCTGTGTGTGTATGTGTGTGTATTTGTATGCAACTCTTAAATGTGATTTTAAAGTCAACATTGAGTCCCCCTGACATACGAGCTGCCAGTTTTGGTTTGCCGCTTGTCTGCCAGTTGCCTTTTGGTTTTCGTGTCGATATCCACTTCCGGACTCCGACTCCAACTCCAGCTCCTGCACTGTCATCTATCGCCTGTGATAATGGTCATGTTGTATACAATGCGATATGATAGCATTGCCATTTGCAATTATATCCTTAACCATCTACGGCTACGATCTGCCCATATTGCCGCTTAATATTGTTGCCCTGACTTGGCATGCAGCCAGGAGGCGTCGGGCGCCAACCACTGCCTGGATAGGCAATTGGGTGGCAGACTATCTATGACACACAGCATGTGGGGCCATGGGCTTTAGTATTAGTATTGAGATTTCTTTGTACCATTGACAATGTGAAGAGCTCTTAAAGTTTTTTAGTTGAACTTAGAGTAAAGACAAATAAAATTGAAATAAAGCTAAATTATATAAGTAAGAAAATTCTGAGTGGGAGATACCCTGAATTTGGTAAATACTTTAAGGGGTCTGTCACGTCGCCTTATTTCTGCTATATATATTTTCATATATTTATTATAAACTGATTTGATATGATATGAAAACTTAACAAACGAAAATTTTTACTTAAATTTGAAGAAAGCCAAAAACTTTTAAAACAAATTTAATACTTCAAATATAAATTCAACAAAGAAATTTATATAAACACAAAAATGTATTTTCTTTACTATACAAAAATATTTGCATATTCAGTTCTAAGAACAGTCTAGACAAAGTTTTTACTTCAATTAACTTTTTACTTTGTCGCCATTATTCGAATTATCATTATCCATTTTAAGACTTGGCAAGAAAAAACAACTCAAGCTAATTTTATTTGCCATATAAATGGAAAATTCCAGCTAACACACAAAAAGCAATAACATGAATTTGTCGAAAGGCGACCTTAGCTGTGTTTATAAGAAACGATGCCAAGTTGAGCCCAAGGACTACCGAGTCGACTCGACTCGCCTTTTAATTACATTGTTTTTAACACCTTAACGTGTTGAAATGCTATAAAAGAAAATGGCAAAGCGTCTAGCTGCTGGCAAAAAGAAAAGTCGAGGAACTAATAGCATTTACCTCTAAGAGAACACAACTGTGGAATACTCTCTTAGGTCTGAGAAGTGTTTAAATATTAATTTGGGAATTTAAATTTAACATTTAAACAATAACTTAATGATGGATTACTTAAAAAATTTGTAAACTAAAATGAATTAATTGTGTAAAAATGCCATTACTTTTTCCTTAGAATTTACATTTAACATTTATACTATTAAATGATTAATTTGTAAAATAAATTAACAAGTTATGTAAAAAATTCAGTTTAATTGCATTACATTTTCTAGCTGGGATATGCCAGAGCTTAGATTGCCAATCGCCAATTGCTCTTTGTGTGTGTTTACGTTGTGCAACTTTTCCGCTGGTCAATATGATATAAACGAAACGATAATTTCCGCTAGTTTTGTTGCTCGATTGCCTTTGGCAGCGGCAGCAAATGGCGCGCTGACATGCAAATATCCATTTAGTGGAAAAGGTTCGACTTTTTCAGAACATGTCGACATGCCACAAGCTCAACAGCTTATTAATATTCTAGCTTAAAATATACTTTTACTTAATGCGAGCTATGTACACATATTTACATATATGCATATATACATATATATATATACATATGTATATAGATAGAGCTGGTTAATTATTTGGCCGTGTCTATTTGCAGGGATGTTTGCTGAAAGCTCCACGCAACGGCCCAGCGTGTGGTGTGTCCCTGATGGAACTCCGTGGTGCAGACATTGCTGATTTGGCGCTCACGCAAATAGCCCAAAATCTTGGGCACGTTGGCTTTGACGCCCAGCATGCTGGTGAAAATTCTAAAAGAATTAAATATGTTACTTATATTAACAACTGATTTAGTTTAGATGCTGTTGCAGCTCTTACAGCACACGCTCCTTGTACGCCTCGCTCTCGTCGACAATGCGCTGCACGAAGGACACCTCGCCGCCGGCACAGGTCAACTCCTCGTCAGTGCCGGTGCGCACGTTGTTCGGCGCTGGGCGACGTTCTGGATTGCGCGTGTTCGCATCAAAGGGATTCTTGGCATTCGAGTCAAAGAAGGGCGGATTGCAGAGGCAGAAGTGAAACTGTTCCTTGGCCAGTGCACTGGACGACTCAAAGAAGCTCTTGAAGATGCTCTGCTTGTCGGGCTGCTCAAAGACCTCCACAAGATGCTGCAGCTCATTGCGCTTCACATTCTCGCGTGCAAATTCAATATTTTCTCGCTTCGACTCCAGAGCCAGCATTTTCCATTGATTCTTCTTGGCGGCCAGCAACGAGTAAATGCACGAGGAGCCGCAACCTGGAAAGAATACTTAAGTGACAGTTCTCTTGACTTAAGAGTATCTACTTGCCAATATCAATGCCATTTACTGCAGCCAATTTGAGTGGGGCCAGCAAATCCTCCAGCCACAAAATGTAATTCAAACGCAGCGCCAAAGTTGGCACCAAACTGCCCGGTGCGAAATCCACGTGCAGGCCGAAGTACTCAAGCAGCAGCATTTTGGTTAATTCACGCAAAGTGCGCTCATTACGGAAATTGATCGACACCTTGCCATTGAGCTCCTGCAAAGCATTAAATACATTTTTAATTGTTTACCCTATTTATATCCTCAATTCGCAACTCACCAATTGACAAACCTGTCGAAAGTCCTTGTACTTAATAGCCAGCTTGGTGTAGTCAGGCGCTGTGCGCAGCACATTGCGTGGATGCATTACAAACTTTTTATTATTTCTTCTACTCATTGTTTTAACAAAATAAGAAACTAATCAACAAATAAACGTTTCAGCCAAATTCAATGCAGCTGGTGTGACCGTTTTGTAGCGCGTAAATAACAATACCGAAAAATACCAAAACAAAATCTACTGCTAGCCAAAGTGCGGTTTTCTGAATGTTAATTAACATAGCTATGTTATAGAACTTTTAACGCATTGTGAAAACAATATTTCGTATAGGCAAAACGTTTTCAAGTTATTATTTAATTAATTAAACAAAAAATGTCAGAAACAAGCTCCAAGGAAAATGTGAAGACCGCAATGACTTATATTTGTGGCGGTAAGTAAATGAATACAGTTAAAAGAAGCTACAGCATGTTGCCGCACAGACGCGCACATGTTTCCTTACAATTACAACTGATTTCTTCACATAAATAATAATTTTTTATAATATTTACAAATAGAATGTCATCATGAGAACGAGATGCGTCCACGTGATCCCATACGTTGCCGCGAGTGTGGCTACCGCATCATGTACAAGAAGCGCACCAAGCGTCGTAAGTATTGCGGCTCCGGGGTCTCTTTACACTGCTTCCCAAACTGTATGCAGAATTTAACAGTTTTATTTTTCTTGCAGTTGTCGTCTTTGATGCACGATAAAGTTGTCTGAATGCGAGTATGGAAAACTAACATAGAATTTAGCTTGTAATTGGAAAACATATATATTAATAAATATAAGGAATTGTAAGCGGATAAAATGTGTTTTTTGTATTTAAGGCAACTTTTGATTAAATGGTAAATACGAAATTCCACAAGTGTATTAGCTTTAGATGTTAAGATGCTTTTTGCTTGTAAATTATAGTGCTTAATATATTACGAAGGCATAACTCATGTTAATGTGTGCTTATAAATGCCTATAAATATTTCGTGTAAGTCTCAGCATGAATATTATAGCCATATAAATATGTGAAGAACTGCTGTAAGTGCCATTTGTAGATAGGCTAGCTCACGTAACACCTAACAAGTATAGAAATGCGCGGTTACCTTGCTCATTTGTTCAGCGGAAGAAAACAGAATATAGAGAATATCCATACAAGAGAAGTACTCTCTACCGATGAATATTTACGATCTCTAAAATAGAAGAACTATTGATAAATTTGTTTTCTGATGAAATCTATAAAAGAGTAGTACTCTTCATTATATACTGTGTAAAATATTATCAGAGGAACCTGACGTACATCTTTCTGCCTCGTTACCTAAAAATCCGAGCTCTATTTAAACGTAAGTATTTATAAAGCGACATGAGAAATAAAAGTTCAAAGTCGACTAAAACATCCATAATTTTCCATTATATAAATATGTACATATGTACATATATATTACCACAAATCTCATCCCTTTACCCCTCCGAATTAAACAATATGATTTTTCAAATTTTTGTTTAAACTAATTTTACTTTTATTTGAATGTTTTTGGAAATATAATTTTTAAACTAAAAACACTTATATTTGTTTATATTACTCATTTGTTATATTTTTTTGTTATTTTTGTTTTTTTCATCTTTCTTTTGCAACATGTGCTTAAATAAAATGTAAAGTAAATTTGTTCTTTTGTTTTGTTGCTTTTTATTTATTTTTTTTTGCTTTACTCATAAATGTCTTTTTTTGTCTCAAAAATTTTGTCTAAATGGCATTTGTCATCCAAAAATTTACTTTACTTAAGATTTTTCTCATTTTTGTTTTTGTTTTTTAGTTTTCTTTTGTTTTGTGTTAGTTTATCGTTTGGTGTAATAAATTTACGTTTAAGTTTACCACATTTAGCAAAAACACACATTTTACACTAGAAATTGTTTATAGCATTGTTTATTTGTTATTTTATTTGTAACTTCTGCTGCTACTTCTTCGTCTTCTTCATCTTCTCTTAATATTTTCCCCGACACATTTCAGTCAAATATTTCCTTCTTGTTCAGTGTGTGGTAAAAAGTTATTCCATATATGTATATATATACTATATATATATATATATATATTGTATTTTCTTTGAGTATTTTGTATTTGTTTTTGTTGTTGTTGTTGATAAAATCATAAGTACAACTACACGTTTAATAATAATAATCATAATCATAATCATATAGTTTATGTTTTGTTTCTTTATCCATAAGCATTAAATTCTATTAACTGAATGCTTGCTGTATTTTTTGTGGGCATTTCGTGGGCGTGGCTGTTGCTCAAGCAACTGAACTAAAGCTACAAACTAAATAAATGTTCATTATGTTAAAGCTTAATTTAAAAATAATAAAGAAATAAGGCATTGAGGTTTTGCATTCCATATTTCGTATAAATTAAATACATGTATTTATATGTATATGTGTGTGTATATATGTATGTATGTGTGTGTGTGTGTTTAGCGAATAATAGAACTTAAACATCTAGTAAATAACATGGCAAAAATTATACTCGTATTAAGTAACTAAAATATGAAGTTTCTTGTTGTTTTTTTCGTTTTCTTTAAATGGCAAATTAAAGCTATTTCACTTCACAAATGATTTTTGTTTTCTTTCTTGCAACAAAATTGAAGATATTTGACAAATGCTCATCGGATATCTTCCTAAATTCTATTAAGTGTTTCATTATTATAATATAATATATTAGTGTACTTGTTGTTGTCTTTTTGCCTTTTGTTTAAACACTACAATGTGAGTTTGTTTTGTGAGTGTGTATGTGTGTGTATGTCTTTTACATAACCTCAATTGTACAATTAATATAATGTGAAATTGATCGAAATTTAGGGAAACTTTCTACAGTGTTATCTTTTTTTTTTGTGTTTTTTATGTTTTTTTTTTTTTTTTAAGAGAAATCATATTTCAGGTACATCACAACTTAAAATTTAACAAATAAATGCAAATTTGTTCTTTAATAAATTTTCAATGTTAATGCCTAATGCATATGAAATGTATATGGCAAGCAAAACATTTGCTAAGATTAATGAGAAATCAGTTCGCTCTAAACTAAATAAAAAGAGAGGGAGTGCGGGAGAGCGAGCGCAAGTTTTTACAGTTTGGCATGCTTCAGGCGACGATGTAACTGCAAGCTGTAGCGCCGCTCAAACTGTGCACTGCACTGCCGACAGCTGCGCGACGCAACCTTCAGAGCACGATGCTTCCAAAACCGATGCAGCGCCAGAGAGCCAAGCGTATGATAGTTGAAACTGATGCCGCCGCCGCCATTGCGCCGTCGACTGGCCGTGCAGCTGGCGCAGCCCAATCTCTGGTGCACCAGCTTATTGAGATGTTTGTCGCGCAGCATGGCAACCACCGCCTCCGGAGAGAGGCGTATTTTCTTTGGCTGCGCCTGTTTACGCGAACTGCGCGCCGTCTCTGCATCGGACTTTTTGCTGAAGTCTAACGGTGCTGTTAAATACTCCTGCTTGCTGGCAGCATCGGCCAACAGAGGCAATAGCGTTGCCAAGTGATTCAAGGACTTGCGCGAGGCGCTAGTAGCGCTGCTGTTATTGGGGCTGTTATTGATGTTGCTGTTGCAGCTGCTGCTGTTGCTGTTAAGAGTATGTTGACTAACAGCCGGCTTCTTGGGGCTTTTACGCGGTGCTGCCAGATCTAGTTGACGCTTGAGCAGCGACTGGGGCTGCGATGCCGGCGCCACTGTTAACTTTGGCGGCGCAGCGCTGCTGCTGTTGCTGTTGCTGCTGCCGGTAGGCACCTTGGGTGTTATGGTCAGTGTAATGTCCTCCTTGTTGCGCAGATACTCAATATACTCCTCGGTCTCGCTCATCAGACGTCGCCGCTTGCCGGGCGACAACTGCTGCTGGCCCGTCGTAGTTGCTGTCGGCAGCGCTGCTGCGGCGGCGGCCAGCATCAAAGGCGTCTCAGCTGCATAGTATTTGTTTATAATGTCTTTAACATAATTCTGAAACTGTGTGCCAATGCGATTGAGATTCTGATATTCCATTTGGGTGAGAAAGGGTGTGTTGTTGCTGTTGTTGTTGTTGCTGTTGGGTGTTGATGTTACTGCAGCCACTGCTGCAGTGCCAACAGCGGCAGCAGCAGCTGCAGCAGCTGTTGCTGTTGCCATGGCTGCTGCTGCCGCTGCTGCAGCCGTTGCCTCAGACCTGCTGGTGTTGTTCTCCTTGTCATCCTGAGGACAATGATGCACGGCATTTCTGTGAGATTTCTCTTTGTAATAGCTGTGACTGTTGTTGTTGTTATTATTGTGGTTGTTGTTGTTATTGTTAAGTTTATACGCGGGAGACGATTTAATAAGCTGCACTCGCTGCTGCTGCTGCTGCTGTTGCTGTTGCTGTAGCTGCAGTTGTTGTTGCTGCTGGTTCTCTTGATCTTCGTCATACTCAATTTTGAGCTTTCGCTTGCTGGCGAGCAGCTCAATGGCCGTCTGCTCGTAGGCTGCCGCTTCCAGAAATGCCGATGCCATCAGCGCCTTGTTGTTGTTGTTGTTGTTGCTCTGCTCCTTCAGCTCGCTCTCATGCTCGTGCTCGCTCGACGAGCGCAAGCTTTTGCCATTGCTGTTGGCATGACGCGACATTTTCATGGGTGAACTAGCGCCCGACATGTTGTACTCGTCGCCCGAGTACGAGGAGGAGGATGCCGATGACGGTGTATTCTCATCATCCTCGCCCGTCGAGTGTTGCCTGGCACGCATAGCGCCAAACTTTTGACGCTGGCCAATGTTGCTGTGGCTGCTGTTGCTGTTGCCGCCGTTGCTGCTGCTGTTGTTGTTGTTGATGTTGCTGCCGCTGTTACTGTTGCTGCTGTGATGGCCGCCCATGCTGCTCAGGCTGTGCAATAGCGCTGCAGCCTCTCGTGTCGTCCATTGCGAAGGCAGTTTATTATTGAACAGGAGTTGATGATTTGCTGGTATTTTCAACTCGTGCACGCCTCCCGCTTTATGAAAATCCTGAGCGACCGAAGCTGTATTGCGACTAATTGCGTCCATTTTTAGCAGACTGCGGAAGAAGAGAGCAAACGAAAGGAGAGATTAGATGAAGCAATTACATTGGGTAAATTATAGAAAAATTATGAAAACTCGAAAGATAAAACTTAATCAAAATTTGAAGAATTTTGGTAATCATATAAACATAAAGTGGAATTAAACTTGATAAATATGCAAGAAAATTGAAAAACAAAGAATGCAAAAAATTTAATAAAAGCACGTCAACACCCAACAACACAAGATTTATTTCATTATTATTCGATTAACAATGAAACAAATCAACAAATATTTATAAAAAAAAAAAAAAAAATAAAATAAAAAAAACAATTATATACAAATAAGTAATCAAATTTGGCAACAAATTTTGAAATATATATTAAAATATAATCGCGAAAAAAAATAGGTGAATAATTATATGTGGCAACAACGTAAAGATAAATATAATAATATATAATGAGCTTTGGAAAATATGCGAAAAACATGGACAAAACAATTTGATGAAAACCCATCAAAGCAGACTGGGAACAACAATGAAAGAAATCAGCAAATATTAAAAAATAAGCTATGAAATTTGGCAACAAGTCATGAATAATTAACCAAAAACGAGCCTATGAAAATTGGCAATAATGCATCAATAAGCACATTTTGAAATATAAACCAAACAGAAAAGCAGCAAATACTTAAAAATAAATTCAAAAGAAATTTCCAAATAAATAATAAATTTTGGCAACAAATTTTGGTTCTAATACGAAACAAACAAATGATAGCAGAAAACATAATGAATATGAATATTCTTTAATAAATAATGAAGCTTTCCATCAATTGTTTAAATATATACCAAAACAGAAATCAGCCTATATTTAAATAAAAACTAAGAAAGGAAATCATGAAAATGGACGACAAGACAACAACAAACGAATTGAGAGACAACACAAAAATGATAAATGAGAGACAACAGAAGTGGGTCAGCAAATACCGCGCATAGTCCTCCGGATCGCTGCCCTCGGCTTCGAGGTATTGAAATAAACGCTCCGAGCCGCGTTTCTGTGTCGCTGCATTCGGCAGGCTGCCGGTGAGCAGATCATGCGGCGGTATCAGGGAGCCATTGGCACTGAGACGCCAGCCCACCATCGAGGTGGGATTCACGATGATCTCCTGCAGGGGGCCGCCGGTGATGTTGCCGCTGCTGCCGCCACCGCCACCGCCGCCGCCGCCTCCAGACACGCCCTCATTGGTGGTGGTGGTGTAGATGGTAACGGCGCCGCTGCCGCTCACATTGCCAACGGTTTGGCCGCCGCCGCTCGACGTGCTGCAGTGCGTGTTCAGGGTATTCGTATGTGTGTGTGTGTGTGTGTGTGTGAAGGCGTAGGTGTTCGAGTGTGTTTGTGTGTGTGAGTTGAGAGAACAAGAGAACGAGGGTAGTAACGAGAGTTAGAGGAGCTTTGTGCGCGCTTGTGGAGCAATGGGAGTTCGGGGGCTGGGGAGGAGGGGTTCAAGAAGTGGGTCTGCGAACATTACCCAAAAGCATTGCCGGCATTGTGAAACGTGTTCAGCTGATTGTTGGCCACGAGCGTGTTGCCAATCGTACGCAAGACATTCAAGTTTTGGCTATGCGTTGCATTGTTGCTGCCATTGTTGTTGCTGTTGTTGCCGCCGTTGTTATTGTTGTTGCTGCCGCTGTTGTTGCTGCTGCTGCTGCGCGCTGGACGATTATCGTGCGGACTGCATTTGATTTAAAGAGAAACAACATTTCACTCAGGTGGACAATGAGAGAAGCAAATTGTCTATCACATAGATCATAGGACATGGACTCTAACAACCAATTGCTATATATGATTATCTAGATCTTTTATCCAAGTTCTCCATCAAATTAAATAGGATGTCATATCAAAGAAGCAAATTGGCTATCACATAGATCATAGGACATAGACTCTAACAACTAATTGCTATAGATCGTTATCCAAATCCCTCTTCTATCCAAGATCTCCATCAACTTAAATGGGATGTCATATCAGTCAAGCTATCACATCATCGTATATCAGAGACTTTAACAGCTAATTGTTATAGATCCTCATTTAGATCTCTCCTATATCTATTTATAAAAGTATGATGTCATATCAGCTATGCAATCGCTGAAATCTTATATCATATATCACCTATCATAACAAGAACTAACTGCTATTTATTGTCTTTGGCTCTTTCCTTCTTACACATTCCTATCTATCCATACCCTATCTATGACATTAAATTGGCTCTCGTAGATCATAGAATCCAATGTCTAAATGATATATTATATATATATATATATATATTATATTATATTATATTATAGATTATCATTTACATATATCACCATCTAGATCTCTCGTCTATCTAAGATGCTTTAACAGACAAGCGATCGATCGGCTCTCGCTTAGATCATAGACTCTATAAAATCAAACGACTGTAGATCAGCAGCCAGATCATTATCTATATCACTTTACTCTCTATCCCAGCAATCCAAATAAGTAAACCCAAAGTCAATCCTCCTGTTCGACTCTCAAATAGATCAATAGACTCTAACAACAACTAAATAGTATAGAACATCACCTAAATCTCTTACCCAATCCCTACTTAGCCTATCGTAACAACTGAATAGAAATCAATTAGCTCTACTTACTGCACATCACTCATGTGAATTTGGTATTCCTCCTGGGTGTCGGCCAGGTAGGAGCACTTGCTGCACGCCCGCTTGTTGTGCACCTTGAGCACGTGGGTGGCCAGGCGCTCGGAGCGCGCCGCCTTATAATCGCAGAGCAGGCAAACGAAGGGCTTTGTGTGGGTGTTGAGGTGACGCTTGAGGCCCCACTTGTCGGCGCCCGACCAGGGACAGTAGCAGCAGGTGAAGCGTTTCTCGCGCTTCGGCTTCAGCAGGCCGGAGCCGGCGGCACTGCTGCTGCCCGAGCCCGAACTGGAGCTGGCCACCGGCTGCTGGGCGCTGTTCATCACGGCGGCCACATGCAGCGGCAGCACTGAGCCATCGTCCAGCTTCTCCTGCTTCAGCTGGGCGAGCGGCATGTCCGCAGCGGAGGCCACCGCTTCGATGGTTTCCGCAATGCTCATGCTGGTCGAGGTGGGATGTCGCTGTGCCTCCAGGAAGGCATTATCAATGTTCACGCCCGTCGCATTGATCGTCACGTTGCCACGGCCGCCCGCATGGTGTGAGCCGACGCCGGAGCCACTGCCGCCACCCCCACTTCCGGCGGGCACATGCCGGCGCGTCTTATTGATGTCGTACTGCAGCTCGCGATGCATGCGCAGAAAATGCTTCTTGACGTGATCGGCGCGATTGAACTGCTTGAGGCAGGCATAGCACTGAAAGGGCTTCTCGTCCTTGTGGATGTTCTCGTGGCGTGTGTACAGATCCCGGCGATCCGTCGAGTAGGGGCAATGGGTGCACGCATAGCGCTTCACGATGTGCACCCCATTCGCTGCGGCAGCAGCGGCGGCTGCCTGGGCCTGGGAGGACTTCTTGCTGCGACTGCCGCCGCCAGAGCCAGAGCTGCTGCCGCCGCCGCTGCTGCTGCTCGAATTGGTGGGCGCTGAGGTGGGCGTGGATTGGGCCAGGTTCTGGGCCGCATTGGCCGATGTGGAGGGACTGGCATAGATCAGCTCCGCCGAGTGCTCCTGACGATGTTTCCTAAGGGAATAACAAAAGATTGAAATACTTTTCCACATCCATGTACAACGCTAGCTACTCACTTGGACTTGGGCGTGCTCTGATGCTGTTGTTGCTGCTGCTGTTGTTGTTGCTGCTGCTGTTGTTGCTGTTGCTGTTGTTGCTGCTGCTGCTGCTGTTGCTGCTGCTGCTGACTCACTTGCGCATAGCTCTGCAGCTTACCGCCCGTTGTCCACTGCACCAGCTGCGGCTGCTGTTGCTCCGCTGCGCCCGTCTCCTGCGCCCAGCGCTGCTGCTGCTCGCCGGCCTTGAGCAGGCCCGCCTGTCCGGCGGCAAAACCATTCTGCATCAGGGCAGCCAGACCGAAAGCTGTGCTCAAATGATCCTCGGACTTGAAGCTGCCCACGGCTGCGACGCTGGGCGCCGGCACCACTGAGGCGCCGCTGCCGCTGGCGCTGACCACCACAGAGTTACCCGACTCTGATTGCTGCTGCTGCTGCTGTTGTTGTTGGATAACATTGGCCTGGGTTGTGGCCACGTTGTTGCCGCTGCCGCCGCCCGCAGCACCAGTTGCTTCGTACTCAATGCTGGGCGCGGCGGTGCGATCAATTTGTTGCTATTGAGAAAAAGGTGAAATAAGAGAAAAATTATTAAATTAGTTATATATTATTATTGTATTATTTAAGGTACTTTATAATTTGTACTCATATTTAATATTTTATACTTTTTTCTTTTATTATTTTTTCATTTATTTTCTTTTATTATAATTTGTATTTATTTATTTTATTTTTTTTATAATTTTTTATTTTTTTTATAATTTTTTATTTTTTTATAATTTTTATTTTTTTTTTTATAATTTTTTTATTTACCCTCTTATTATATCATTTTTTATTTTATTTTTATAATTTTATTTAATTATTTGTTTAATTTGTATACTTTTTTTATGTTATATTATTAATCCATGATCACAATGGAAAATTATATAAATCACGGCAAATGGGAATCTAATTATTTACTTTAATAATTCGATTCAGTTTCACTGATAATCGAACCACTGTTCTATATCGCCTCCTCCCTTTACTTACCAAATTCGTAAACGAGCGCTGCTCGCCCTCGGGCACCGCTGTGGGTCCACTGGTGGCCACCTGAGCCACCGGCGTACCGAGCGTATGCAAACCGTTGCCGGTCTCCTCGCCGTATAGTTTACGTGTGATTTCTTTGAACATATCTTCATATGTGGCCTCAACATTTGAGGACTGTGCGCTCGCTGTGTTGCATCCTGTCGCTGGGATTAGTGTTGCCATTGCTGCGACTGTTTGGCCTTGGCTTGCGGCGGCGTTGCACGAAAATTGCAGCGACTACTTCTCTCGCTGTTGCCTCCACGTATGCGCTTCGAAAACTGTAAAGATAAACCCAGAGAGAGAGAGAGTCAGTTAGGGAGAGTGAGATAAGGGAGAGAAGGAGATAGAGAGAGAGTGGGCTGACTGACCACATTTAGTTAGTCAGTGTGCCTAAGCTTAACGCACATTCACATCCGGCACACAAAATACCCAATGCCCACACAACCCCCCCCAATCCCAATCGACGTCAGTTCGAAGAATTGTCTGTTGACACACCAACGGTTGCCGACGACGGCCTGGAACCTGCCTGCCTTGGGCCCTAGCCATGCGGGTGGGCCCCAGGGGGGGTTTTCTTTTTCGATTGATGCTGACGTCGTTCCAAGCAGCATCAGCTGAGTCAGCGCCAGCTCAGGCAGCAAGCAGCGATTTGAGCCCACTTTTTGTTAACGACATTTTTATTCACCACTTGTCGGACTGGTGACAAAAGTGAATGGTTTGGAATAAATATTCTTCTATATAAATATGTAGATATAGAGTGAATATCATAAACTTATTTTTCTTTCCTTTATATTTATTTAATATAAAGCCTACATATATTTTGTACCTTATTGGTTTTAATTATTTACTTTTAAATTTAGTTAGTAAATTTGATTAGTAAATTTAACGGTGTTTTATATACATACGTCTAAATTATTTTATTAATTAATTAATTTTATATTTAAATGATTTCTTATATATTTTTCAGTTTGATTCGCACACTCATAACACTTTCGACACTTTTGTCGCCTGATCGCAGCGTCTGTTTTGCTGCATACATTAATAAAATGACTACAACAACACTTACGCTTGTTAGCAGAAGAGGAAGCAGGGGAAGAAACTTCATTGCGAAAACCCAACGCGCCCAAAAACTTTGCACCTTTGGAGGATATCTAAGCGCATCTCTCACTCTAAATACAACACAAATTGCTAAGCAACAGCAACAACAACAATAACTGTTGTAATTTTGGCGGCCCGTTTGTTGTTATTGGTGGGTGGCTCTACGTTGCTGTTGTTGTCGTTGTTGTTGCTGCTGCCGCTGCTGGCCCACATGTTGCTGATGGCTGCGCCTCATTTTTCAAGTGAGATGCTGAACAAAAAACAAACAATTTTTGTATGGCGACAAAATTGTTTTTGTTATGGGCATGGAGCATGGGACATGGGCACGTTTCTTTCGATGGCCCAGAGCCAACACAGTGGGAGCCACCCACACGCGCCTAGGCCCAGGCCCATGTGGCAAATGAGCGAGGGGGGCGGGGCGGGCCTGGCCTGGCCTGCCGGGGAGTGCTCTGTCGGTCTGTCTGTGTGTGTAAGGAATGAGAGAATTATTGTCTGTGTGTGTGTGTGTGTTTGTGTGACCGTACCGAAGCGTGTTTTCTTTCGTCTCTTTTCGCGTCATATTTCGTATGGTTATTTGTTGTTGTTGCTGTTGCTTTTTGCATATTTGATTTTATGCTTTGTGTGCTTTTTACAGTTGTTGCCCACACTTTGCGCCACTGGGGGCGTTTGAGTCTTCTGCTTTACTTCGTTTCTCATTCGTTTGCTTTGCATTTGCTTTCGCGGCTGCGGCTGCGGCTTCAGCTTTGGTTTGTTGTGTCTCGTTGGGTAGGTCTACAAAGCCTGCAGATCTCAGCCCAGCTGCTCCCCTCCAGATCCCCTCGCTTGCCTTGCCGACCGCCCACGCCCTTTGAGTGACTCGCTGCGTGTGGCTTTTCAAGCCAAGGGCATTGTTATTGATGTTGATTTGATTGTGGTTGTTGTTGTTGTTGGGTGGGTGACTTGACTTTTGTCTCAGCTCAAGATCAATGTATACAAAATTATCTCTATGGTATATATGTACATATGTATGTATATAATACTATTTAATATAACATCGCTAAGCACTCTCTGGAGACCCTCTTAAATTCAAGAGAAATATTAATCAATTTTCTTCAGCCTTCATTTGCAAATTTATCAATTTTTGCAATATCTTTCGTCATTCAAATGTTTTGCAAAAACTTAATATATTAAAAAAAACAAGTAAGAAGGCTCCAGTCGAGACTACTCGACTAGGAGATACCCTGAACCTTCTAAGCTGATATTCTAATCATTCTGCACTTCTTTTATGCACATGCATCCACACGCACGCATAAGCCCGTGCTCTGGTAACTGCGCAGTAAGCAGCGACTGCGCTTGGGCTGCGCTGCAGTGTGGGCAATATTATGAGAATTTCTTTGTTGAATAATTTCTTTTGTAGACATACGATCTTAATGAAACTTTCAGAACGTAATCATATGGTGAATATGTGTGTACATTCCAAAGCACAAGTCTCTAGTACTTGAAATGCGTTTTTTGTAAATTGGGGGGAAAGGGGGCGTGGTATCCAAAATCTGTAAATGACAAAATCTTTGTATCGATTGTCTTTATATACAAGGCAAATTTTAAGACTCCAGGTCTAAAAGTGTTCAAATTAGGCTAAAAAAACAAAATCAATTTTTCGATTATTCTCGATAAAAAAGTTATCGGACGATTTATCGAAAAAATAAAGCAAACTCGTACTGCGTATGGTACACTCGAGTATGCATCCCAAATTTCAGCTCTCTAGCTCTTATAACTTCTGAGATCGACGCACTCATACGGACGGACGGACGGACGGACGGACGGACGGACAGACGGACAGGGCTATATCGACTCAGCTCATCGCGCTGATCAAGAATATATATACTTTGTGGGGTCTGCCACGCCTCCTTCTGCCCGTTACATACTTTTTCACAAAACCATTATACCCTGATTTCCCATTTTCAATGGGTTCAGGGTATAAAAATACCCGATAAGAAAGGGCCAAGCGATGGGGTCAATATTTGTGGGCGAGCGATAGACACATAAACATAAACACACACACACACACACAACAAAAAGTGCCATGCGTTGCCAACAACCGCGGCAGAGTGTGTGGGTGCTCGGTTGGGGCCAGGCACTGAAATAACAGCAACAACATCCGCTTTGCTAATAGCAGGCAGCTAAAAAAAAAAAAAAACCCAGAGACAACAAACCAAACGGCGGCGTCAAATGGGCGCGTCAGCGAGTGGGCTGAAAATGGGCGCAACAGTCGTCGCCGCTAACAGCAGCAGTAGCCCCAGCACCAGCACCAGCAGCAACAGCAACAAAATCAATTTACAACAACTCTAACACGCGCACCATCAAGAACAAATACAGCGATCAGTCGCCGTCAGCGACAGCGACGCCGACGCCACCGCCGCCTGTGGTGGGTGTGCAAAAAAACCGACATCAGCATTGGCATCCGCAGCAGCTGCGACGCTCTGCTGCTGCCCGCAATGACAACGCAATTTGGGGGAGTCAGCGAGAGTGAAAGAGCGCGAGAGAGCGCGCAAAACCGGTTGGCAGCTGAACATAAAAATGCCGGTTGCGGAGCTTTTGCTGTAGTAATAATTGAAGTGAGAGCGCAAGCGAAGCAAGCAAAGAGAGCAGAGATATGACAGGGCGCACGTCTGCCGATCGTTGTCGCTCTTCTTCTTTTGTCCAGCTGTCGGCTGTTGTCTTTCGTGGTGCAGATGCCGGACGATTGACTGTTAACGGTAAACGCATTATTGGGTGGCTTCTCTTCAAATAAGGCAGCAGAGTCAATTGCTGTTGTTGTTTGTTTTTTTTTTTTATGTTCTTTTTTGCTGATAATATTTTTTCAGAATTGCGCGTTGCGTGTGCTACATATGTACGCGTATGTATGTGTGTGCACATATGTATGTATATTTGTTAGGGGGCGGGCGTCACACAGCTAAATTGCCAAAGCAAAGTCGTACTTTTGACTGAGCGTATGTATGTAAGCATACATATGTATGTGCAGTTAAATGTATATTTGTACACACACACATAGACAGTTTAACACCCGTGGGCTGAGCCGACCCGATGGCAGCTCAGGGTGAGCCACAACATTACTGAAAGCTGTTGTTGTTGCGGTGAACGGTGAAAGGCCAAGATACGCGGGAGAAGCGAAGAGAGAGAGGAGAGGCGCACCGATTGGGAGGAGGGCGACCAGCAGAGAACAAGCAATGGACAACGGCATCGGCAGCGGCTGCGACTGCGGCAGCTAATGACATGTTAACGCCAAGCAGCAGCCGTCTGTCGGTCCCAAAGCCACACGCAGTTATTAAAAAGTGCTTTTGCGCGATGGCCTGCACAGTGGGGCGAGTTAATTGGAAGGGCGGCACCAGACCAAACACACATAAAAGTGAGCAAAGCGAACAACTTGAGTGGCACACGCAATGCAAACAACTTTTTAATCTTTACATATTTGTGCATATTAACACTTAGTAGATACGAGTTTACAAATATATCTGTTTAAATTAATTTGAAGGCACTGAATGTGTTTTGGAAGTTAGAGCTTGTCTAAGTTAATGTGAAATGGTAATAAATGTATGGGAATATATATTTAGAAATTGAAAAAGTTCTACTATAAATGTAATTCGCATGGACTTAATATTTCAGCTGAGCAAAGTGTTTTAATATTTTAAAAATGATTTTTTTTTTTTTGCAAATAGGTATACAATCAATGAATTATTCAGTTAAAATGCGATTCATTTGCTGGTTATGAAATAAGAATTATAGCTTATCTAATGAAACAATAATCCACATTTGTAAGTTCGCAAAGTCCTATTGTTGGTTTAATAAGTATTTTATGCCTTAATTCACTAAAAAATTAATTTTTCAATTATTCAATAAATTATTATAATATTTAAAAATAAGTGGATATGATTTTTTTTTTCATCTTAGATAACTGTTTATTTATTTTCAATCAGAAAAAATAATTTTAGTATTTCTAGCGCTTGCATTTCTAACAACTTGCCCCACTGTCTCGCGCCTCTGTCTGGCATTAACAACGTGACCGATACGTCGATACACAACAACAACAACAGCAACAAGTTGTTAAAGTGGGTGGCTGTCTAACAGCTGTTGTGTCCAGCTAAATTCAACGATCGCTCGAACGACAGCAATATAAAATCTTCAATTTTATATGCGCAACAGCAGC